TTTTTTTTTTTTTTTTTTTTTGTGGTGTGTTGCGAGCTTAAGACTTGACTTGTAGTCGTGAGAGATGGCACTTGAAAAGACTTTAAGAGATGAACTTGCTACAGGTCTATAAGTGACTTGGCTTCGTCTTATAAACTATAGTTTTCAGCTTTAATGGCTTTACTATCGCTCATGACTAGTGAAGGGTGCATGTTATGGAGACGTGACTAGAAGTGTTCAAAAAAATTAGATGACTCGAAATTATTTGTATGATTTGGACTGGTTTGAGTTCAAATAATTGAAAATTTTGTAAATTAGTTTCGTTTATAGGTAATTCTAAAACTATACTGGGTTAAATTAAATTGGTCCTAATTGATTATTAATTTTAAAAATATATATTTTTACTTATGTATATATATTAATTATATAATTATTTATTTTCTAACTACTCATTAAAAATAATTTTTAACTATTTGAAAATTAATTCTTTAAATATATATTGAAGTTGATTGGTCAATTTTATAAATGTTTCAAAATAAATAAATAAATATTTTACCATAGAGAAATAAAATTTTGAATAAAAATTTTGAATTACAATAGAAGTTTATATAATTGAACCATATAAAAATAATTGCCTATTATCGATTCTTTTATTGTAGATTTTTTATGTAATCTTTTTCAACCAAATAAAAATTTATTGTTTTCTTTACATTTTTAAAAATATATATTAATTTGTTTTTAGACATAACGCCATATCTCTTCAATTTATTCGATATAACAATTTTCCAAAAAAAAGGTTAATTATTCATAATATATCTATAAATATAAAGTCATAACAAATATATAATATTACAATTTTTGTTTTAGATTTATATTTAAATTTGAGTTTTTTTTTAGTGATATACATATGAAAATAAATCAAAATCATTTTAATTCTAAAAAAATATTTCCACATAAATTTATTTATACTCTAATTTCAATTTCATTTTTTTCTTTTATGTTTATATAAAAATTATTTAACTTCTTTTCTTACTACGGATCTATTTAATATAAAAATAAAACCTATCGTACATAAAATAAAATCATTTCTATAAACTATTACAAGTTAACGATCTATTAAATACAATCTTAAAAATTTAAGAATCATACTTCTTACTTAGCCACTTTAATAACGAATAAACTAATATCGGATTGAAAATTTAGCCACGAACATTACGTTCTAGATCCACCACCGAGCGAGCGAGCGAGCAACCATCTGTTAACATTGATACAAGGTAAAGTATGATGGGAATAACACATTTATTTTCTCCTTGCTTACAATGAAATCACATAAGAATATAAGGGAAAACCAGAAAGCTTCAGTACTCATACATAACAGCAGCAGCAGCTGGTGGGACATAGCAGACAACCATGCCACAGGAAAACGGGAATAACAACAAAAAAAATACCATAAAATCTATTATGACAAATTAATGGCATCATCGGCTATCTCCCTGCGAGGATACATCACCAAAAACAATTGCTCAACTACTCTCCATACAATGAGGAACGAGATTTTTAGGAGTCTTGAGGTGTCTCAAATCTCGTTGGGGTGTCAATACCCATCATACAGCAAAGGCCTGATATTAGGATTATGAGCAACACGATCCCCTGCATAAGTGGAGATTTGGAAGAAAATTTTAAGTCAAAATGGCAGCCCATTTAACCGGTGAGACTCGTGAAGAACACGCATAACGAGATGAAAGCGCGCTAAAAGGGAGGTAATATGATCAAGGTTTTGGGGAAAGGGTAAAACTTTATCAAGAACTAATAGCCAAATAGATATGGGAATTGGTGCACATGATTTTTACCATTCAGCGGCATAAGCAAGAAGATAACCAGAAATTACCACCAAATATGCCATTTAAACAGTGAGACTCGTGAAGAACACACATAACGAGATGGAAGCATGCTAAAAGAGAGGTAATATGATCAAAGCTTTGGGAAATGAGTAAAACTTTATCTAGAACTAATAGGCAATAGATATAGGAATTGGTGCACATATGATTTTTACTATTCAGCGGCAAAAGCAAGAAGATAACCAAAAATTACCACCAAATATGCCATTTAAACAGTGAGACTCATGAAGAACACACATAACGAGATGAAAGCGTGCTAAAAGAGAGGTAATATGATCAAAGTTTTGGGAAATGAGTAAAACTTTATCTAGAACTAATAGGCAAATAGATATAGGAATTGGGTGCACATATGATTTTTACTATTCAGCGGCAGAAGCAAGAAGATAACCAAAAATTACCACCAAATATGACGATCACATGTAATTATCTTAGAAATAAAGGGTGTTCTTTCTTTTATGCCTGGTGTGTTGGGGCAGAGGAGATAAGATGAGGGAAACAAGAAGATTGGTCCAGATGATAATAAACTAAGTAACATGAAAATCTATTCCTAAATCTTGATAATGAAACTACAATGCTTTGCCTAGTTCGCCTACCAAATTCCATGCTGAAAGAAGTCATTAGTGTCCAATTTAATACAAGGTGCAGCCAAAATATACAAATTATAAAGCTAGAATATCACACATAATGACAGTTAGTGACTCACAACAAAGAGGCCCTCGAGAAGAGATGATTTAATTTGGCAGACTTCATCACAGAAATTTGCTGATTTAGTTGATCCATTTCCAGAGGAACCCTCAGCAAGAAATCTTTCAAGCTTCATAGAAGTATGGCGAATGGACCGAAAGGGATCCGATACATAGAGAATTTCATACTTTGACCCAACATGCTCTGCAGAAGTCATTATCTCCAACAAAGCTTTGCCTATAATAATTTCAAAATTCAGCATAAAATGTTGTTAGCACTACTGTCAATCATGTTGCTTGTTCTAATAACCATTGTAAGACAAAGTAAAATGCGTCAACATACTTTCAGAAGCCCATGAATTAACTTCTTTAGGTGAATTGGAACCTCCATGACAGAAAACTACCAAATCTGTCTCTCCCTTTGGCTTCTTTTCCATTCTTGAAACCATATAATCCTACTCGTTTGACGTAGAAAGAACAAATAAGAATATCACAAATGTTCTAAGAAAACAAATGACTATAGTCATATAAAGATAGATTTACATTAATTGAATGCTGCAGGGGAAGTCTCTGGAACGATTCATCCTCAATGGAGCACAACTCATGGAAGGCACTATTGCTGATTCCAAGATCATGCCCACACGATTTTTTGAACTCTGAGATCAATGAATTTTCAATCGTCCCGCTTTCTGGTGCAGCCACATAAGGAAATGCCAAGGAGAAGTTAGACCTTGAGAAAGAGACCTGTGAAAATTGATCCTGGATTTAGAGACAAGACTCAAAGACATGCAGTTTTAGAATTTATAAAGCAAATTGCTTTTGCAAACCTTCAGTAAGTCCTTAAGGTTTGGATCCACGTGCCTGCTCAACATAAAATCTGATTGCAACTATGAAAACCAAACGAATCGTCAAGGAAAAAATATGTGAACCAACATAACAATGCATCAAACTATTATCCTGAATAATAGAAAAAGTATTTGTGGTACACTAAAAAATTTGCAAGAAAATAATTGAACAAATTCACCAATTAAAGAATTACATGATGAAGACTGAATAATCTCAAAATTTATATATTCCTACCTCTGAACCAACAAAGACTATTGCAAGATCCACATGCTGCTCTACATTCTTTCTTGAGCACTGAAGAAATAAATAACAAATAAAATATAAATATAAGAAGAAATCAAGAAAAAAGAAAGGCAAAACAGCTAGCTTTTCTAAAAATAAAAATTGTGCATGCAGAATAGACTTGAAATGTACAAGATATCTTAAAAAACTAGTGATAGAGAACTTCAGAACAAGATGTGAAATGTAACAAACACCAGAAATTTTGACCAGCCCCCTTCATACAGAACAGACTTTGCCAGCTCCTGTGGAGAAATGGTCTGGTAATCAACAGATTTTTCGATCATGTTGTTTGAAAACCTGCAACCATATGGTACAACTATTAAATTATGCCTAGAACAATGATACATAGTATATAACATGTCCAAAAAGGAATTTATGGGGACATCTAAAAGTTAGAGACAATTGATCCAACAATGAAGAGGGCGATCCTGAACAATTGTATCTAAAGATCAACTTAAGTATATATATCATTCATTTGCAACAATTTAACACACAAAAAATGTCATACGGCGTACCCATGGTGATGATGAGGAGACCAGAGGAATGCAGGAACAGTGGATGGCAAAGATGAGCTAGGTTCAAATGTCGCTGCCACCAGGAGAACAACAAGAAGCAAACCCAGCTTGGGCACGTCCACCTTCTTCATCTCTCTGTTTCTGCACATCATCAAGATGAGGTGAGTCCAGAAAGAGTTAGAAGTTCAAATATGATTTGAAAAAGCATACAACAAGATATAACATACATTTAAAAAACATATAACAAGTTAGAGAGTTTAGATGCAAAATTAAAAACAATAATCAAATTGTGTTTATCGTTCAAATGTTGGCCAAATTGGATCGGAAATGTCCTCACTCACTTGAGCCATTCACTTAAACGATGTCTTACCAAGGCAGAGAAACTACGACTTAGTTGTAGTTTCTGAAAATTTTCACGTATTTTAGGAACTTTTAAGAATTTTAGAAACAAGAAATGGGAAAGATTTTCACATATTTCACATTTATTTCTAGTTCATTTTGATTTCTTCAATCCAACCCATTCGAACATGGGAGGAATTGGAATGAGTTCAAATTTAATCTAAAATCCTTCCAAATCCGTCTTATTTCAGACGAAACCAAACGACGAGACAAAACAGGATTTGAAATCAGATGGAAATTCAAATCCTAATTTTTTGTTCAAACCAAACAAAATAAATGACACTTCAAATCCGTTCTGATTTGAAATCCTTTCAAATTCAGGGTTTCCAAACAGATGGGGGAAAACAACAGGTAAATATCATAAGAAACTGATTCCAAAAGGAAAGAAATTTTGCTTACCAGAGAAATCAACGCCGAAGTAGATTTGATTAACCCTTCCTGTTCGTCGCTCCTGTACAGTGGATGGTGCAATTGAAAGGGTTTATCACGGTGATTCTCTTCGAAACAGCGATCGAATAGCGAACACTCACTCGATCTTAGATCTTCGGAACCAATAGCTTTTTTATCGTTTCGTTCTCTCTCTTTTTTATTTAATTTAATTTATTTTTATTTTTTGTTTCTCGTTAAAAATTCGTCATAATATTCTCCCATTTTTTCCCTTTAAAATAATAATTTATGTAAATTGATAATATTCCTAGAATAAATAACAACTATTTTATTGGTTTTTCCTCTTTTTCGATCAATTCAATAATCATTTAATTTTCCAAAAAATAATTTAATTGAATTCTTTTATTATATTGAGTATGAAATTTAAAATTTAATAGAAATCATAATTATAGGCCATAATTAATAATTATTTTAAAAAATATTTAGTTTTTTTAATAAAATATATTCGTATTTAATATAAATCAGCTATTTATAATTATTTAAATTTTGGCTTAATTTATTAAAAGAACGGTAACAAAATTTTTCAATCCTATTTTAAAATAAAGTTTTGTTCTTACGTAGCGTCGTGTCACTGATTCATACGTTAATTGATATAAAAAAATTTAGACGGAAGATACAAAACTATGGGCGAAAATCAAAGACACTGAACATAACTTACGACAAATAGACATTGAGCTTCATAGATCTGTGCCTGACATGACAATGAGGATTCCATGTATGACAAATAGACACCGAGATTCGAAGGTTGGGTGATCAGTAGCTTCCAAGCCCATGAGTCACCCTTGTCTATCAACCATATATATATATATATAGTCCGCGCATGGAATTATAAAAATAATATTAAAATCTTTTATAACGACTTTTTTATATATATATATATATATATATATGTAACGGCTCAGATTCATCGTTGGGTTTCCCCTCAACGCTTTAAAACGCGTCTGCTAGGGGAAAATTTCTACACTCTTATAAATTGTGGTTTGTTCTCCTCTCCAACTAACGTGGGACGTCACAATCTACCCCTTTCGAGGCTCAGCACCCTTGCGGCAACTCTTTCCTTCCTCCAATCGATGGGGGACCCCCCCAAATCCTCCTCCTTTGGGGCCAGCATCTTTACTAGCACACGGCCTCGTGTCTAATCCCCTTCGAGGAACAGCTAGAAGGCTGGCACATCGTCCGGTGTTTGGCTCTGATACCATTTGTAACGACTCAGATCCACCGTTAGCAGATATTGTCCACTTCGGACTTTTCTGGGCTTCCCCTCAAAGCTATAAAACACATTTGGTAAAGTGGTGTTTTGTTCTCGTCTCTAACCAACGTGGACATCACAGTATATATATATTCATTAGAATTAAGCCTAAACTAGTGGTTAATGTTAATTTTGAGATTTATTGAAATGGGGACTAAATTTAGCAGTTTTTAACCTAAAAAATGGTCTAATTCTCTCAAGAAATTCCTTCCACACTCTTTCAAAATTTATCCTTCTTTGTAACTGATTCTGTCTTCACGTTATTCCGTTCTCGCTGTGCATCGAACTCGTGTTCCTCGCGAGCTCGCGCACGCTCATGAATTTCGCGGTCTAATTCAGCTCAGAAAGGGGGAAGAGGCTCAAAAGAGGAGAAGAATCAGAGAGAGAGAGAGAGCGACAGAAAAGAGTGTAGGAAATCAAATTATCGAGTGGGGAGTGCGGTGGCCGGAGGTGGATACGAGGTTGGGACGGTTCACTGGTGGGTGGGTGGTTTTTCTTTCAAATGGTATATGATGCTTTGCAATTCATTGAGAGATCGAATTCGGCCATGGCTTCGTGATTATGACAGGCTTCAATCTTTCGCAGTTATTCTCATTTATATACAGGTGCATTCTTCCCCCTATCTCCGCCTTCTTTTCTTTGTTCTTCGTTATTTACGTTTTTTAATTCTTAATCTAATTTATCTACATACGTATGAGAAAGATCGGGTGCGCATTGGTTGGATCCCTAGGGGCATTGTACAACGGTGTATTACTTGTAAATTTGGCGATCGCATTATTTGCTTTGGTAGCCATCGAGAGCAGCAGTCAGAGTCTTGGCCGTACATATGCTGTTCTCCTGTTCTCTGCGATTTTCCTCGACATCTCCTGGTTCCTTCTTTTTGCCTACGACACATGGTCTCTCTCTAGCTCTCTCGTTTTAGTAATCCCAGCATGTTTAGTTTGTTTGAGAACGTGAGTCTGGACTGCTTGGTGAATTTAGCGATGTCTTGTCCTTGTCTATAGAGTAAAATTTGAAAGGATGCATACAGAACAAGTATGTTGTTATAGTATAATTCTACAAAGCATATTGATATGATTAGTATGATAGCCAGCATGATCCCTGTCCGCCCCTAAAAATGCATTTCCAACGTTGAAGCTGCTTATTATACTCCTACAGTTCTTTACTCTTTAACTAGTTGGATAATTTCATGATAAACCTTCCTCACCGGTCCATGGAAGCACTGCTGTATATGAGATAGATGAAGCTAATTTGATGAATGCAGAAACTTCACACTCAAAGTTGAAATTCTAATTCCGGACGAAATATGATTTTGAATTAGCTATGATTAATTAAAAAGGATTTTGAAGGGAGCTTTGATGTTGTATAGTTGCAACAATACTTGTACGTTTTATACGTTTTGAAGAAAGCTTCGATATTGTATAGTTGGAGAGGGTTTTTTATTATTTATTTATTATATATATATTTTTTTTCTGTAAAAACTTATTTGAACAATGCATTCTCCTGACACCCATCTTTGTGCCTGCATTTTCTTTTTTAATGCTCATCAAGTGCGTACGTGCATAACGTGCTTCTAGATTGATGCATGATGCTGATTGCTGGCTATTTTACCCTGTTAATTGAATGAAAGATTGCTTATATGCAGGAACATCTCATCTGAGAAATATGGACCCTTTTTTACATTTTCAGTGAAGCTTACTCTAGCAATGCAGATTACTGGATTTTCTGTTAGACTATCGTCTTCACTACTGTGGATTCAAATTTACAGATTGGGGATTTCATACATGGAAACTCCAATCCCCCGAGAGGCAGATTATGATTTGAGAAATAGTTTTCTTAGCCCTGCTACTCCAGTTGCAGTTAGAGAGCCCTCAGTTTCTGATGATATAATAGGGGGCTCTATCTATGATCCAACTTATTACTCGTCCCTCTTCGAAGATGGTCAAGATAGTAAATGTCTGTCTGGGGTAACGTATCAATTTATTTTAAGCACGCTTTCATGCAACCGTCATTGATCCATTGTCATTCATTTACTAGTTCTAAATTTTCTGCTGCGATCCTATTGCTTTATCCATTTAGTTTTCCATGGTATTCTTTTTATATGTAGTTAATATCATACTGAATTTCAGCATTCAATTCTTACAAGATGAAGAGGGTTAGCCTTATTACAAGTTTCCTTTACTGAATGAAGTTTTTTTGTTTATAAATATTTTTGAAGAGCAAATAAAATTTTATCACTATTACTATTATTATTATTAGTATTATTGTAGAAATCCACTTTATTAGGATGAATTGGAGCTAAACTGATTTCAAATGTCTTTAAAATTTGTATTGAATAGGTGACCTCTTCACAAAGTCTAATCTAAATCCTTGATGTTTGCTTATAAACCTACTACCATCGAGTAGGACCTTTGGATGAAGTGAATGGCGTCAATTCATCTCCATGAGTTCTTAGCTATATTAGACCTAATAGTGGGAGTGAGATGAAAGATCAAGCAAATGAGAGAGAATACTTACTAACAAACACTCTCCATGACCCGAGAGTCCTTGATGGTTTGTAATGTTCTAGTAGTAGATTACACAAAGTGCTCCCTTTCATCATTGATGACATGCAAATGGTTTTTACAGGAGACATGCCATTTCTCTTGCAGCTGAATCATTAGATGATTACCATAGCAATAATAATAATGGCTTCATCCCCAAGATTTTTTCCCCTTTCGTTTGATAGGAGAGATCAATTTTGGAAAAGTATATGAGAAGTATGTGAGAAGGTTGATGGATCCTCCACTTAGATATGATAATGGAGCGAAAAGGTTTCAGCCTTTAGATGGAGAAGTGGATCTACGACTCTCTCCACTACAATGGGAGGACTATTTGAGATATAAGGCAGGAGGATTTTCTTTCTCCTTTTCCTCTCTACTCTGGTGGTCGATTCTTGGAGTTGGTTTGTTGAAGTTAGTAAAAAAAAGGATAAGTTGGAAGGTTTTAAGACTGGAAAAGATTAAAGTGATGAAATTGTGATAGTTTCAAATTGATGAAATTGTGGCATTTTTTTGTTGAAGATCGTTGGCCCTCGAGCTTGAATATAAATATTCAATATTCCTCTTTGACCATGTGAATGTGGACAAAAAGCGTCTTCCTTCACATGTACTAGTGGATCCAAGTGTAGATAACATTAGTAAAAAGTTGGCTGAATGAAAAGGCTTCCTAATATTGAAGGCATGAAGACTTGCTATTGTTACTTGGTGCCTTCTGTTGTTCCTCTCTATTTTTTTAACATATTGTTAGATCCCATATTGGTTGGAGAGGGGAACGAGAAGGGTGTGGAAACCTCTCCCTAGTAGACACATTTTAAAACCTTGAGGGGAAGCCTAGAAGAGAAAGCCCAAAGAGGACAATATCTGCTAGCGGTGGGCTTAGGTTGGTACAAATGTTATCAGAACCTGACATTGGGTGGTGTGCTAGCGAGGACGTTGGGCCCCCAAGGGGGCTGGATTGTGAGATCCCATGTTAGTTGGAGAGGGAACGAAACATTCTTTATTAGGGTGTGGAAACCTCTCCCTAGTAAGCGTGTTTTAAAACTTTGAGGGGAAGCTCATAAGGAAAAGCCTAAGGAGGACAATATCTGCTAGCGGTAGGCTTGGGCTGCTACAAATATATCTGAGGTAAAAGCCCGTATTTATTTAGAGAAAATTATTAGAGACTTTCTTTAGAGAGGTGCAAAGAGTAATGGGGTGGTCATTTAGTCAGCACCTTAGCCAAATGGCTACGAACCAGAGATATTCCGAGGATGATAAATGTTGTAGAAAATAATTATTAGAAGCAGGTATGATCAATACAGAGATGTTTGGT